AGCACTGAGACCAGTTTGTGACCAGTTTGTGGCCAGTTCATTATGTCCAGCTAGTGACCAGTCTGTGGCCAGCACTGAGACCAGTTTGTGACCAGTCCGTCACCAGCACTGAGACCAGTTTATGTCCATTTAGTGACCAGTCTGTGACCAGCACTGAGACCAGCTTGTGACCAGTCCGTGACCAATTCGTTACCATTCGTGACTAGCTCATAACCACTCTGTGGCCAAGTTGAGACCACTTTGTAACCAGTTTGTGACCAGTTTGTGGGCAGCTTGTGACCAATCGTAACCAGCATATTGACCACTTCCTGACCATGCACTGTGACCAGCTGGTAACCAGACAGTTTGGGACCAGTTTGTGAGGACCAGTTTGTGGCTAGTTGGGGGCATCTGCTCACAAGGTGGAGACAAAACACATTAGTGACCAGTCTGTGACCAGCACTCAGACCAGTTGGTGACCAGTCCGTGACCAGTTCGTTACCAGTTTGTGACTAGCTTATAACCACTATGTGGCAAGTTTGTGACCAGCACTGAGACAAGTTTGTGACCAGTTTATGTCCAGTTAGTGACCAGTCTGTGGCCAGCACTGAGACCAGTCTGTGACCAGTCTGTGACCAGTCTGTGACCAGCACTGAGACCAGTTTATGTCCAGTTAGAATGACGCGGAATCTCTCGTCATGCTTCCTGCTGCCAGACACACATCCCTTGGAACCGATCACTAACAAAAATAAGAATGGCAAGACATGACATCTTCACATGACAACGAGCAAGGATCGGACTCATCGGTGTATTTAGGAATTTGTATGCTTAAGATTCATGACGCAACTTACTGTGAACGTCGTCTTTCTTTGAGATTCAAGAGCTTCAATGTACGGTGCCATCTGCCAATCTTCCATCAAAAACCAACACAAACCCAACAAAATATTGAGCGATCACAACTGACTGTCAGGTCATGCCCCTCGCCAAAACAACATGCACTGCCTAAGAGAAGCCCGGAGCTATTCTAGACAACAATCATGAGCGTTGACCATCACAACACACAATCTCTCGCCCTACCGTCTTCACCCGAATAGAACATCAGGTCGTTATAACCGTCATTGGTGCAACTTTGAGTCCAGATGCAACAATAATGACCAGGCCTTGTAGCCTTTGACAGAATCGCCACAGTCACACTATTACTCGCACTCGGACCAAAATGATTGTATCACCGCCATGTGGTTCCCATTCCCCTCCTTGTTCTCCTCCTGCTCCTCCTCCTCCTCCTCATCATCATCATCATCATCATCATCATCATCATCATCATCACCATCATCATCATTGTCATCGACATCATAGCGGCAGCAGCAACAGCAGGAGGAGGACGAGGTGGACGAGGAGGACGAGGAGGACGAGGAGGAGGAGGAGGAGGAGGAGGAGGAGGAGGAGGACAACGACGAGAAGGACGAGGACGAAGAAAGGAGCTACTGAGGGTCTTCTGACTTCCACTGGCAGCAGCGTCGTGATAATCCACCACCTCCAAGATCATAACCAGCAATGCGATCAACATGATGAGAGCCATCTTCAGCATTCCGATTACTCTCATCAGCACTGGTGCATTGAAATGATTTCCAACAGCAAAGGCTGTGCTCCAGGAGTCCCATCGACAACAGTACAGCATAGTTGCATGCACAATGGTATTAATCCTCATCATTTTTTTGACAATTGTGCCCCACCAGATCCCACATCAATCTTGATAACTCCTTCAAAAAAGAAAAAAATGCAACTCTTGCGAAAAAGGGCATTGCTTGAATTTGCTTCCATAAACATCACCACAGTCATCGTTCACCTCTTCCACATTCTTGCTGTGCTGACCAGCCCCATGTGCCTGACCCTTACTGATACCTTCCCCCTTCTCTGCACCTCCCTTCTCCCTTCTCCGTTCTCCCTGCTCTCTCTCTCTCTCTCTCTCTCTCTCTCTCTCTCTCTCTCTCTCTC